TTCAATACAGTGAAAACTACACTGGTACTATTCATCAAGAAGCTACAATATAAGGATATCAGTACTGTACCTCCTTAGAGAGAGCCTTTCAATCACTTGTATCTGAAAATTTCAACAATTTTGTCTTGACAACAGGATGTACTGTAGTTTCTATCTATTGTAGAGGTAATGTGGGCTTGAAAATATTTGATTCTCATGCAAGGGTTATTTATGGTAGAAGCCATCCTCAAGGTACATGTGTGCAGCTTGAAGTATCATCACTGAATAACTGAGTACATTATTTTCAGAGTATACATAATGATATATTTGAGTTGAAAGGGGTTAAAATTAATAAAGTTCAAAATAGTACCCTTTTTCAGAGTCATGTCTGTGAAACCAGAAAGTTCAATGTGAGTTGTGTTGTGGCTGTCTATTCACTCAGCTACTCGGTAATAAAATCATGTAGTTATTGGAATTCAAACACCTTATCTAATGTTATTCAGTGAGGCGAAAGATTACACGAAAATTCATCTTTGAACAAGTATTTACTATCAGATGATTTGCCAAAAACTGTTGATGTTTGTGGAACTGAAGTGAGTTTAGATCCTAAAAGTGATTACAGTGAAGGAATATTGTCTGATTCAGTTGACAGCAAATCAATTCTTGAAAATCTTGTAAGAAATAATAGTGAATGTACGGGGATTTTGATGTGGTTTTCAGTTTTTTGTATGACATATTTTTAAACCCACAAAAACGTCAAAGTATGTGTATTCCCTTTTGGTATTTAATGAAAGTCAATTGCCTTTAATTGAATATACTAAAACTGTAAACAGCACTGCTTCTCTTGTTGCAGCCGTCAGCAATACTCAATATTCAGAGACTTTTCTATTAAAAGCTATGAACTATTGAACAGTAGTACTGCTCCAATCTACTGATTTGTGACAACTTCCCTTGGGTGTGAACATTTGGCAATAAACTATGACTCAGTACCAATAATAGATGAAAAATTCCCTTCTTGTGGTTAAAGGCAAATACATCACCCACTCAGGGTTTGTAAAAGCCTTGAAAGTCCTTGAAAGTGCTTGAATTTAAAAATAAAAAGTAGAATTTAAAAATAAAAAGCCTCGAAAGTAGTTGAATTTGAGGACTAGGGCTTCATTTTTGCAGGGCTTTTTCTTTAACAATTTTCAAGTTAAAAATTACAGTGCTTTCAATCTTTCATGGAAAAGCTGAGAAATAATAATAAATAATTTTAAAATCACTTATGCAAACCTTTCCAAAAATGGTCCTTCAATTTTCTAAAACTTGGCCTTCAAAGTCATTATATAATCATTGCAGATGATACTATTTTTCATATCACTAGGCAAATGTAGTCATAAAGGCTGATAGTTTCTAAAGAAACTTTTTGGGGCTGCATCGGTGGGGGTAATGAAATAATTTGGATAGTTCCGACAAAGGGCTAATACTCAAAACGTCAGCTTTTGTAATCATTACGGTGGCCAATTTACCATTTCAACGTGTAGTCATAGACTGCATATTTTTTTAATATTATCACAGTACTTTTTGTTGTTTAATGTGTTTGGAAATCTTTTACCATGTCTTTATGTCCACTTGTCTCTGGTTCCCTCAACTTCTCCACAGCCTAAAAGACTTTGGGACATTTTTGCAAATTTCTGTAAGT